TTTGAAATTCTTGACCTTTTGAAACTCTGCCAAAAATTCACAATCAAGGTGTAAGGCTTGATAAATTTATTTTCACATTGTAAAACCTTACACCCGATATTCGAGTTCATATTTCTTGAACTCCGTTGAAAATTATTAATTTTACTCCTAATCTGCAACGCATAAGTTTCAAATGAAACTCAAGAGTTTCAAGATTTTTTTCCCCAATAAAATGACTCACTGGGGAAAAAAACCCGAGCCAAAGTTCCTCGTCTTCAAAAAACATTTTTCAGCAAAAATCGCCAGAATCGCGAAAAAAGCATCAATGTTGAAAAAAAAAATCTGAACGCAAGCACAATTCCAGACGCTAAAATTTCACGTTCCAAGTCAGGAAATTGAATCACCGCAAAAAATTCGTGCCGATCACTGCTTTTTGTGCAAAAAAAAAAAGAAAAAAGAAATAAGCGCAATAATTTCCGAGTTCCGTAAATCCCACAGATTCTGATTTTCTTCGGATTACGAAGCACCCTTTAAAAGAAGAACGAGAAAAATTGAGATAATCCTCGTGTTTCGAATACAAATTGAAAAGTCAACACAAGCTCCACCAAGGTTCTCAAGAAACGAGAAACAAACCAAGGATTGGAAACTAAAGGGGGGAAAAACGGACTCGTTTCAACCGTAGCTTCAGCATCAACTGACTCCAACGCATCATCCATCAATCGGTCCAATTATAAACAAAAAAAAACCGGACAATAAAAATTGAGCCCGTCGACGGCAAAAAATAAAAAATAAAATTTCGCTGAAAACTCCCACTGTCATTAGACAAGCACAAAAATGGGAAGGGAAGGTAATATATATTATATATAGGTATACTGTTACTGTATATCAACCATAGAAACAGCCAGGAACATTCGTTTCCTTCACGTGCGCCGAAAGATAACTTTTGCTAGTACGCTCGTATCTCGGGATCGAGCGATTGCCGGTCATAAAAACTCGGGAACAGATTTTCTCCAACTGAAAAATTCTTCAGATTTCGAGTTATGAAGCTCGATGCGATATCGACAGTAGCTTTTCTCAACTGATTCCGATACGGTTGACCTTGAATTCACAGTGAAACATTCATTTTCTTCTCGTGAATCTCGCGTTGTTTTTCATTTTCTCTTCAAAAAAACAGCATAATTCCGTGTTTCTCTGAAAATATGACAGGATTTTTGCGCTGATTTTCTTTCACAGAAACTCCGCCTTGCCTTAAAATTTGCCTTGATCCGTCCAAAACGAAATTAGCAACTCGCCTGTCTGCAATAATATACGAATAAATGAATACAACACACTTAATTATGAATAAATTACGATTAATGAATAAATTAATGCAACCAAGAAACCAGATCGCAGAAATTCCAATGCTCCTTTACAGCGCATATGAATACTGTTGAATAATGGATACTGAATGTACTGTCAGATTATTCTCAAATTCATGAAAATAATAGACAAAAATGTGATTTTTTATATTATTTTTATGAATAATCTAGAAATATTTGCAACTTCGAGCCACAATCAAACCTCGTAAGACTGTCAGTGACATCTACCCGCACTCCAGTGTGTTACGGAAGGAAACTAGCAGCAAAAATCGGTGCAAGAATTGGAATTTTGAAAATATTGGCGTTTTCTGATTGAATGAGGATTTGAAAATAAATTAGACAAGGCAGAGTTAATTTATCTGGCTTCACTTTTAGAGCGCTGTTGAATTTATAACCGATAGGAATTCTTCCCTGATATTTGCTCAAATGATAAAAAAAATGATTTCATAATTTTTCAGAATAGAAACCTGAGATTTGTAGATAAAATAGAGGGCATTTAGATAATATCTTCTTGCAAATGGAATTCATGTCCTTGGCAGTTAACCAGAAGAAAATCTTCAATTTACGAGAGTAATGGGCTAAACGATATTTGAATCACTGAAGTAATTAAAATTTCCATGACGCAATAAATCGCACCCCCAATCACCAAATATTAGAATACAGTCTGTGCTGTAGTATCATAGAAAACATTTCATCTTATACCCACCTACAAAAGCGGCAGAAAATGTTTGTAAGTAAACTTATAAGCAAAATCTGTTCAATTCAGCAAGGCGGAGGGTCAATTGCCGTACCACCAGACCAATCTTATTCACCACTTGTGTGATTAAAAAAGTTTAGATCAGTAATAGGAGATTCCACAAAAAATAAATAAATCGCCCTTACAATCGCCAAACATTTGAGTTTTCTCATCTTAAACCTGTAGATTTTAAAACATTTTTTGAATGAAAGCTGTAGAAAATTTTTGAAGGGAAATCAAATATGCAAACCTGTTCATTTCGGTAATGCGGAAGGTCAAGTATTACTATAAGTATTACTTAGAGATTTAAAAAGTTTTGATCAGTAATAGGAGATTCCATAAAACAATAAATCGCCCTTACGATCACAAAACATTTGATTTTTCCCATCTTAAACCTGTAGATTTTAAAACATTTTTCGAATGAAAGCTGTAGAACATTTTTGAAGGGAAATCAATATGCAAACCCGTTTAATACGGTAATGCGGAAGGTCAATTATTACTACTGTATTATACCAGTATTCTCCACTAGTGATGTAATTAAAAAAATACTTAGATCATTTAATTGAAGATTCCATAAAACAATAAATCACACACAGGATCACCGAACAATTTGCGTAATACAGTGATGCATAAAAGATTTTACCACCTTAAACCAACCCATAAAAGCCGTAGAAATTTTTTCTTGCGTAAATTATTCTGAAAATGTGCATATTTAGTTTAGGGAAGGATCGATCATTATTTTATTGTACCATCTTATCCCGGGTCGACACAAATCAGCAGATACGATTTTTCGCGAACATCTGCAAACTCTGTCTCTCAAAAAGATTTTCGCTTCGTTGGAAAAATAAAAGCCGGCTTTCGTACATTCCCACTCCCCCAAGTACGCCGGGAAGAACGCAGAAAAAAAGTAGTTGGTGAAATGCAAGAAAAGAGCAAAAAAAAAACCTCGCAAGGAATGAAACTTTTCATGAAATCGAGGAAGACAGAGTTTCATCGGAAATTAGATTCAGCGTCGATGTGAAGAAAAAGAGCGAGTCAACAGTGAAATATTTTCGCTGTATGCTGCAGCAAGCCAATTCGGAAAACATGCTTCGTGCGATAGTTTTTAAATAAGAACTGATCAATACTGAGAACAGTTTCCAATTTTAGTTGCAGCTGTTGCTTACAATGCCTAAGGAAAACATAACGTGACAATTTGTTGATGCAATAATTGCTCAATAAATAAATTTAAAAAAAAGAATCGCAAAAGAAGTGACGAGTGACTGGCTCTTGAGAACGAAAACCGTACCTTAAAAAAAGCGGGCATGAAAATTTGACAACAGTGAACTGAATACAATCCTGAAAATTTTCCATTCGAACGAAGCATGATTTGATCAAATGCAGAAGAAAATGCGGTGATGCTTCAATCAAATACGATACGCACTCATGCAAATCATTAAGAATTTTGAAGTTCGTGAATTTCGGCACATAAATTATTTATCGAAGGTCCTATAAAATAAAACAAAAGTATTGCACTCAATTTAGCCGAGAGGGATTTTCGTTTGATTGAATTGCATCAGGGCTTCACCCAAGTTTTTGGACGAAATACACAGACAACATTCGGTGGCTTTAGGATTGTTTTTTGTACCAAAAATTGCAATAGTGTTCTGCTTTAACTGAAGTGTTTAGATGCGAATTTTGAAATTACAGTAGAATCTCGGTACAACAAATCTCGTTACAACGAATAAATGCTTACAAAGAATTTTTCGTGTTCCTTTCCAATAGCCAACAATGTCATAGTAATTTCATTTCAGCGAATTTTCGCTTTTTTCAAGGTCCCAAAAGCTTCGTTGTAACGAGATTTTACTGCATCACAAAAATACGCGATTCAACACGCGTCTTCCTTGTGCTCGTATTGAAACGAAGTCACTCGCAAAATAGGCGATTCAACTGAATTGAAGACGCCATCAAATATTAGAGAATGTTGAACAAAAGCCTACTTGCAAGTTTTTTCGAAAATAAAAACGTTTTCAAAAAAGGTTTTGTATGCGAGTGCGAAAAACTTACTGTTATTTTAGTGGCCAAGGAAATATAAAATTATTTTTAAAATTTAACTTCATGCCTTTCTTCCTCACTATTACTAACACATCCCAGTCTGACGTTACACTGGACTGGGATATTGTTATTTTAGAGGCCAAGGAAAGACAAAATTATTTTGAAAAATTTAATTTCATGCCTTTCGAAATGAAGTGAAAGACTGATTGGGCAAATAATAATAAACTCTTCACTAAACATTCAGCATCCTGTCAATTCCTGTACAAAGCCATTTTTGGGCTTTGAAAAAATCACTAATTTCAACTTCCTTCAACTCTTTTTTTTTACACAAAAATATTAGTTTCCTCAACAGAAAACCTTCTTCAACAGAAAACCTTCTTCAATCGAATTTTTCTGCTGGTTTCTTGGAATTCGAGGCAGCCGAAATTTTCATGTCGGTCCCTTGGAAGTCGAATTTTTCTTGCTGGTCCCTTGGAATTCGACTCAAAGACGTTCAACTGTATTTTTGAAACTAGAAAAAAATCCTCATCAAAAATGGGCAAAAATTCGCGCCAAGGTGAAAACAAAAGAAAGAAAACAAAACATCGTAGAAAAAATCCTCAACAAAAATGGGCAAAATTCGCGGGAAAAAAAACCCGAGGTTTTTTTCTTTTTCTTGCGCGATTCGCGTCGATCTCAATTTCATTCTTCGATTTCGTTTTCTTTTTGTAATCTCTCCAGAGATGTGCTCAAAAGTGAAATGGCTCCAGCTGATTCCTCTCACGATGATGATGATGATGATAGGAACCCTGGGTTCCTCCTCTCGCGCCTCCATCATCCCGTCCCCGGGCAACAATTCGAGCCAATCCGTCCCGCAAACCCACCAGCCCTGGAGATTCGGCCCTCACGAAAAGCCCAGCAAGACGGAAATCTGGGGCTACGGCATGCTTCTCGTCACAGGCATCAGTTCTTGCTCAGTCATCGGTGGACTGTGTCTTCCTTGCATCAGCAATCGGTTCTATCCGAGCTTCATGACGGTCCTCATCGGTCTCGCCATGGGCACTTTGCTCTCATCCGCCTGCTTCCACCTCCTTCCGACTGCTCTTCAGGCGCACGAAATATTCGAGGAAAAGGGAGACTACTTGTTCCCGGCTTTGGGTACGGTGATCGGGGCTTACAGCTTTTTGCTCGTCGAAACTTGCTTGAAGGTCGTGTTGCAATTTCGTCAACGCCCGAAAGGGAACCCGGCGACCATCACGTGCGTGCAGACTATTGACACTGAGGACGTTGTTCGGTGTCAGGAGCCGGCAATAAAGGCTTCCTTTGGTCATCCGGAATACAGGTAAAAAAAAAAAAAAGCCCTTTTACGGTCATAGCCTCTTAAAAAGCCTAGGACAGTGTTGCCCAACCCGCAAGTTTTTTTTTTTTTTTTCTGATCCGCGGAAAATGTTCCGTCAACTTGAAAAATTAACCAAAAGGAGTAATTAGCTCAGTTGTCATTATCCGAGGTTTTGGAAAGACAATGGCAGTTGAAATTGTCTGATGAAAAATACAAGTTAGCTTTTCTCCAAACAACACTTCAGAAAAATGTTCACCTGCATGAAATAAATCATTTTGATTTTTCTTTCAGAGAAACCTTTCTTCAAGTCCACCTTTCTAATTTTTGTTGACATTCAGCTATAGCTGCTTCATTGGTGCTTGACTGAATTTTTGCCAATAGCAGAAACTCTTTAAAAATATTTTATGCCATCAAGAAAAACTTTTGTGAGTCTGCAAAAATGTTATGAAACATTTTTTTGGTCTGAAGAAAATTATTCGGGAATTTGCCAGTCCACGGGCCCAAAAAGGTTGCGGAACACTCGGGACACTGGGGGCATTATACAGTGAGACCCCGAAATGCGGACGTAATTGGTGCATCAAGAGTGTCCCCAAGTTGAAATGTCCCTAATTCAAGTCTCATTTTCCCTTAGACTTACATTATGTAATTTTTAATTAGTGTTTCATGTACAAAAATACTCATTATAATTCCATGAAAATAAAAAGTGCCTCCCAATTTAAACTGATTAAATCAATATATCTCAACACAATATGGACATTTGGGGAATTGAATACTGATACATCTGTACAGTACATAGAAATGTTGGCATTCTTTGTAAATATAACATTCAAACAAAAAAGAGAGAAGGAAGTCCCTCTATGCTGGAGGTAATTTTTAAAATTAGCTAAATGGATGGTAATTTGGTGAGAGAAATGCCGAAGAACTTTTCTTACATCAATTTTTGGGTTTAAAATATCTGCTTCTCGTAATTTGGCCAGAAACTTATTTGCGATTTTATCACAAAATGTCCCCATGTTGAGTCATGTTGGGCCTTTTTTTAAATCATTTTTTAATGGGAAAATACGTGTCCCTATGTTGAATTGTCTGCAGGTTGAGGTGTCTGCATGTGGGGGTCTCACTGTACTTGATTCTCACGGAAATTTTTGTATCAGGTTCAACAGAAACGCTCATTTTAAACGAAAAAAAATTGGAAATTGGTTCAATTCAAGTTCAGTTTATGTCTGAATTTGGAATTGGTTGTTCTTATTTTTTCTGGTTGAAGCGTAACTAAAAATTGGGATGCAAGTCTTACTCGGTGATAGGATTTCATCAACATTTCCCACAGAAAAACCCTGGTGCGCCTCTTACTCGAGAGCGCGCGGTACTCGAGTAAAAACACGGGTACTAAAAATGTTTTTAAATCGAAACAGTACAGTATTGGACTGTACTGCATTTCGTTATTTCAACGGGGATTCTTTTTTTTTTTCTTCTTTTCTTTCGCACGCGCCGCGCAGAAAGAAAACCAGGAAAATCAAAGATCTCTTCTGCGGATCCGGAACCAAGAGCAAAGCCGAGATCGCGTCCGTCGCCTGGATGATCATCGTCGGCGACAGTCTCCACAACTTCGTCGACGGCGTCGCCATCGGCGCCGCCTTCAGCGAAAGCGTCCTCGTCGGCCTGTCCGTCTCCATCGCCGTCATTTGCGAGGAATTCCCGCACGAATTGGGCGACTTGGCCGTGCTCATCAACGCCGGCATGTCCATTCGTCGGGCCCTGCTCTACAACTTTGCGTCCGCCCTGTCGTGTTACGTGGGGCTCGCGTTCGGGATTCTGTTGGGCGACGTGACGGAGTCGGCGTCCATCATTTTCGGGGTCGCCGGCGGGATTTTTTTGTACATTTCCCTGACGGACATGGCGCCCGAGTTGAACGAGGCGGCGGCGAATGCGTCCAAGGAAGGGCTGAGGGCGTGGGGGAAGGTTGTGATTTTGCAGACCATCGGGTTCAGCACTGGCGTCGCGTTTCTATTCCTCATGGCGTATTTCCAAGATAGCATGCAACTGGAAACTGGTTTATAACTACAGTACTCGCTTCCCAGTCCCGACATACACGTTCCATAAGTTTTGAAAATAATTCGGATGAATAAACGAGGATTTTTTTTATTCAAAATTTCGAGAAGCTTTCAGTCAAGTGTTCGCTCGACTATAGGCCCCACTTTCCCTCAAAACAAAAAAAGTACTGCGGAAAAACTTGAGTGTGGCCTATAATCGATGCTATATTTTGGGTGACTTCGAATCCGCAAAAAAAGCTCATTCACTGAAATTCAAAAATACGTAAAAGCATGCCCCGCTTCCTTCGAATTCTTTTGTCAGTATTCGCTCGATTATAAACCGTAATATTTTTATAGAACTTTTAATAGAATAAACCTCCGACATAATGTTCCATAAGTTTTGAAAATAATTCGGAAATATAGACGAGAATGTTTTTTTCCAAATCTTTCAGTCAAGTAAGTGTTCGCTCGACTATAAGCCCCACTTTCCCTCAAAACAAAAAAGTACAGTATTGTACTTTACTTCTCAAAAACGTGATTGTGTCCAATACTCGATGGTATATTTTGGGTCACTTTAAATCCGAAAAAAGGCTCATTCACTGAAATTCTAAAATACGTAAAATCATGCGCTGTTCCGTTTGAATAGATTAATCTCTTGTCTGTATTCGCTCGATTATAAACCTCGAATCCCTCTTCTAAAAAAATACCGCTCAAAAATGCAGGTGTGGCCATTACTCAAGAGTGATATATTCTGTGCCAATTGAAATCCGAAAGTATGAAAAAAGCTAAAAGCGTATTCAATGAAATCCAAAATTATGTAAATTCATGAATCGTGTGCTGTTCTATTCAAACAGATAATTCCTTTGTTAGCGTGCGCTCGATTATGAAACCCAGGTGCCCAATAAAATAATACTGCACAAAAATACAGGTGTGGCCTATAATCGAAGTGATATTTTGGGCAAAGTAGGATTCGAAAATATGAATAAAAAAAACCACACTTCACTGAAGTTCAACAGGGCATAAAATCAGGCGCTGTTGAATTTCAACACTTTCTTTCGTAACACAATAATTCTTCCGCGTTTTTCGACTATAGTTGAGCAATTGCAGTTTTTGCGACGAGAATTTTTCTATACGATTTTTGTTTCCTAACGGCAACAAAAACTCAGCGGGAATACGAAAAAGTAAACATTTTTTTCAAAATGGTCATCAAGTCGCCACATAATGTTGATTTCACTTGAAAACTATTGAAACTGAGCAGTCACTTGCCGTTGTTCATTCGAATGTCCGATCTTGAATGATGACATTGTCTCTTGAAAGTGTTATAAAGTAATCAAGTAGCCAGCGTAAAATATTTTTAAATAAGTTACAAGTTTTCGATTTCCCGGCCAACTCTACAAGAGTATGTACGTCAAGTATAAAGGATAAAAGTTGAGTTTCAAAATTGATCGCATAAAAACGGTTATTGAACGTCATCTTTTCTCCAAAACTTTCAAATCAGTTTTGAAAAAACAAACAAACACCGCACAACGTTCGCAAAAACATTTTTCATCCTTGCTTGACCGACTGAAATAAAACGACGCTGTTGACTTTTTAAAAAATAGTATTTACGACTGCAGTTAAATACGAGTTTAAAGACTATTTCCAGAAATTTTCCTCGGGAATAAATACGCCGCCCTATGCTATTAACTCCAGTACAAGCCGAGTTGGCACCGGAACTTCTCAACTTCGAAAAATTCACCGGAACTCCACACTTCCGTTCTGCTTCGGATCGGAATCGAGGTACTGTACTCGGAAAACAGTTCCAAAATTTACAGCAAAAAGGAAGATAAAATTAGGATCTCGAAAAAGTTTCAATTTAATTCATCAATTCGACAGAAGTATTCACTGGAGTAAATAAATTCCAGACAAAAAAAATTCAAAATTTGGGATTGACAAGATTTAAATTACGGATGCAAAGTATTTTCACGAGAAATTCTTGATTTGAAATTAAATCGAAATGTCCCCTGTCCGGGAGGATTATTAACGTACTGTATTGAAATGCAATTGATTCCTTCGTCAAGACTCCTCAATTTTATTTTTTTCGGCTCACCTAGCTTCATTCAAAGTCAAGGAAACATCGGGAGAATATTTTTGTGAAGGTTTTTTTCCCTTCGTAAACTGATCGCATTTAATCACTGCCATGGATATTTTCAAGGAAGCGTCGTCAATGAAACAACCTTCAGGAGCTAGAGGCTACGAAACCGCATCAAGACCCAGGACTTCGCAACAGAGCGTCGATGGATTCGGAAGACGAATTTCCAAACAGGAACGTCACAATCGTTCCAATGATTCAATTTACCCATTCCTTTACGATGACGACGATGATGACTTTGATCTTCCGATGGAACACGAACAAGTTGATTCTCCCACTCATCATGGGACATTGAGTGCAATCTGCTTGATGGTGAACCTAGTGATCGGGCCTTCTTTGGTTTCATATCCTTACGCATTCCGTGTGGCTGGTGGCATTGGACAAGGTGTCATCTTGCAAGTAGTAAGCATTAGGACTCGACACTTTCTGGCATACGAGGGTTCTTACAAAAGTTCTCGGAGTAGCAATGAAAATGGCTTATAGTTGACCTGGAAGAAATTGTTTCTATAGGAAAAACATATTCTTTGGCACATAAAAAAATATCAGCCCTGTTTGACAATTTTTTTTGAATTTTTTTCATAATTCACCCTGGTAGAGTTTTACTCTTCACTCGAAAGATGAGGCGCCCTTTTTTTGTTGTAGCCCAGCTTTCCCCTCAGAATTTTTAAAATCGGCTTAGCATTCTTTCTAAGGGTTGCCTCCAGATCATCCAAGGCTTTCCCCGCAGAATTTTTGAAATCAACTCGAAATTCTTTCTAAGGGTTGCCTCCAGATTATCCAAGGCAATTGGCCGCCACTTTGGCGGCTGTGAAGGCGGCTGTCAATGAAAATGGCGGAATTGCCTTGGATGATCTGGAGGCAACCCTTAGAAAGAATTCCGAATTGATTTCAAAAATTCTGAGGGGAAAGCTGGACTACAACAAAAAAAGGGCGCCTCATATTTTGAGTGGAGAGTAAAACTCTTTAACAGGGTGAATTATGAAAAAAATTCAAAAAAATTTGTTGAACAGGGCTGATATTTTTTTATGTGCCAAAGAATATGTTTTTCCTAAAGAAAAAATGTGTTTCAGGTCAACAGTAGGCCATTTCAATTACTACTCCGAGAACTTTTGTTAGAACCCTCGTATTTGCCATGTGGAGTTGGGTCCCGACATGTAAAAAAAAATGTACGCCCCAAGATTCTGACTTTTTACGAACTTTTCTAGACAAATAGATTTTTTTTTCAAAATTTTGATGTCTCTTGACAATCTTGAAAAAACTGAGCTCTTTGTATTCTCAAAAATTGGAAAAAATATTTATTATAAATTCACCACCAAAAGAAGCTAATTTTGTGCTCTTTTTTCAGAGTTCTTTCCATCATCTGAGCACAGAAAAGTAAAACTTGAGCTTGTTTTAATTTTTGGGCTCCTTATCATGCCAAAAGATTATGCGTGGTTTTCATCTGTATTGCTATTTTATATACAGTGCTGTACCTTTAAATTGAGAAAAATAATTTTATTCAATTTTTTAAGGGACGTTTTCCTAACTTTTGATCAACAGGAGAACCAATAGAATATATATATTCCCATTGAAGTCAACAGAAAAACAATATCCAAGATACGGACATCCCAGTATACTGACAAGGTCCAAGCACAAATTACTGTATGTCCACATTTTGGGGACTCCATTATGATGTATGATGTTATGTCATCCCTCATTTGTCAACTCTGAAGTCTAGAAAGACAATTTCAAAAACCTTGCTTTTGTACATGAGAATGAGCTTTTTGAAAAATTCCCAGTTTGGCTTGTGTACAGGTCACAACGCTGCTATCTTTGCCACCATTGATCAGTGTGGTGTACATAGCAGACCAAGAAGGGCTCACTAATGATCATGATACACTCGGGGCAATACATATAGTTGCACATCCATTCTGCACTTTAGTAGTGGCTTTGGCTGGGTTCATGAACTCTGTCAATCACTTGGTAGTCATTGGTGAGCAGACTGAAAATTGTGAGTATTCAAATATGTTGAGTTTTTAAATAGGGTAGTTTTCCAAGATTATTCGAGGTAGTTTACTTGTAAGTATTTGATAAATAATTTGAAAATATAAGTCAAATAGAGTGTTCTGGGTTTTTAATGATTTAGGCAGAGGTGCCAACAATGTGTGGTTGTTACTATAGGGCTCACTTGCTTGTAAGATTTCAATACTGAATATTTGTGATCAGTTGTTTGAGATGCAGTTTTAGTACACTGTCTGTTCACTGCTATGGTGTTCCATCATTGAGGCCATCTATTACTGAGCACCATTACCCTAATTTCCTATCTTTAAAATGGTTTTCAGTATTCAGGGGATCATATGGACCTGGATTTCATGAGATCTGGTACATGACAAGAAAACTCACTGTTCCACTGGTCTCTTTCTTGTTCATTCTCCCTGCTTTGTTTGTCACAAACATAGGAAGCTTGAAGCTCAATAGGTATGATATCTGGACAAAGATGAACTTGCTGCTTCTGAGAATTGAAGTTCATGTCATTTTAGCTACATTGGTTTCTTAGTGGCAACTTACATATCATTTGCTGTCAGTGTGAAGTACATATATGGGAGACAGTTTACCAGAGCAGGAAGGAGAATCTTTCCAGAATCACAAAAATACCTCCTTCCCATTCCGCCATTATTTTTATCCGCTCTTTGCGTGAGTTTAACTTCCAATATGGGAGAATTGGTGACTGAAATTTTTTTTTCTTCTATTCAGAGTGATATTGGTTCTGTGCCAGTATACAAGTCACTAAGGAACAGGAATGTGAAACTTTGGACCTTGATAGTTGGGTGTGCTTTGACTGTGGGTACTGCCATCTATGCAACTGTTGGAATATTTGGATACATGACATTTGGGGATATGACACCAATTGATATAATTTCTTGTTATGCCTCTGGTGAACTTGTAATTGACCTGGCTTTAGTTGCTCTGATAATATCTCAAATCATGAGCTACCCCATCATTGCTTTC